ACACCCCGCTCTTTGAGCATTGAGATTCAAGCGAGAAAAGTCAGACTGAAGCATCGAGGAGTCCTATTACTTCAAACAATGAAAGTACAAATAATCTATAACGCTATCATTTTTTGTATAAACAGCTGCAAAGGCTTCTTCAAAAGGACAGTGCAAAACAGGCGGGTCTACACCTGCGTGGCGGAAGGTGGCTGTGAGATCACGAAGGCTCAGAGGAACAGGTGCCAGTACTGTCGATTTAAAAAGTGCATTGAACAGGGTATGGTACTCCAGGCCGTCCGGGAAGACCGAATGCCCGGTGGTAGGAATTCCGGTGCCGTCTACAATCTCTACAAGGTTTGTACTTTATGTAAATGAACTCGTTACTCCGGCCCATTGAGAAGAACTTACCTACGCGATTCTCTCTCTCTCTCTCTCTCTCTCTCTCTCTCTCTCTCTGTGTCGGTCATATCATTAATTACATACATTAGTAAGCTCGTGAGTTTATCCAAATTTTAGATAGACATGTAGTACGTGGTAGGGATCGCTCGACCATATTGCAAAGAAATTTTTTATTATTCCTCTCGACACTGTTTCATCGACTTTACATAGACAAAATCATTGAAGCAAATTTAGTGCGATCTACAAAAATAATACGTTACGGGGTGTTTCATTATTAAAATCTATTATGCAATTGCTTTATAAAGCAGTGAAATTTAAAAAAAAAGAAAGAAATTCAACCAATTGTAATCCCAAAGCTTTTTAAGCTAATTTCGACCGAGACTCGGTAACCATTGCAAATGTCTAACTGGCGATTAACCGAGACACTATAATAAAATAGTGCTTTTGTTTAATTATTTTGTGTAATTATGTGGCCTAGAGATTAATGACAAATGAAAATATCGATTTGGATATAAATAGCCAAACCAAAGTCATTATTTAAAAAGCATACAACAATGCATGAAACAAAGAGATGACGAAATCGGAGGTACTGATTGTCGAATGTCGCAGGTAAAGTACAAGAAGCACAAAAAGACGAATAAGAGCAACGCGTCCAGCGGCATCGGGGTAATGGGCTCGGGTGGCACGGGACACATTGGCGGCGGTGTGAACGGCGCCGGGAATAAAGCCAACATGGCCACGGCGATCCTCGACAAGCACATGGCCGCTGCCGTACACCAGCAACAGCAACAGCAACAGCAACAGCAACAGCAACAGCAGCATCAGCAGCAACAGCAGCAGCAGCAGCAGCAGCAGCAGCAGCAGCAACAGCAACAGCAACATCAACAGCAACAGCAACAGCAACAGCAGCAACAACAACAGCATCAGCAGCAACAACAGCAACAACAACACTCCCAGATGGCGGGTAGTTTCCTCCATCATCACAAGATCTCCTCCGGGGATGGCCTCAACTCGCAGCCGACGCCTAGCCATCCGAGTCATCCCGCGCACTCGGGCCACTTGGTTAATGGTACCATCCTCAAGACGGCTCTTACTAACCCCTCGGAAGTAAGTACTCTTGCCAATTATCCGCATTCTTGTTCCAAATATCTATTATACTCGTCAAAGCGACTAACATGGATGCCACAAGCGATTTCATATAGAAAATCATTGCAGTCGTTGCGGTCATTCAATCTCAAAAACTCCGTGAAAAATACTTTGTCTCAAACTCAATACCATTCCTCGTATTTATGACGAAATGATTATTATTATTATTATTATTGTTGTTGTTGTTGTTGTTGTTGTTAGGTATTGTATCATTAGGTTAAAACTAAGGAGAAAGCGATGGAATAATTTACAAGGCCGAAGCTCACATTTGACAATATTAATATCTAGAATAACGAGCTGCATCGCGATTTTCCAATGCATCTATAACTTTAAGTTTTCTATACAAATAGCTCACCATAACCGACCCATATAATCACACGCGCTAAAAACTATAATATACCTTTTGCCCATTTTTATGTAACAGGAAATGTAGTTTCTTTCACACGCGTAGACGATTGATAAATTTCCGCCTATTGCCTACCAACGGCATTATAATCTAAAATTAAAAAAGCCATAAAGCTAGCTCCTTGTCAACAAAGTGCCGATTATTTGTAGCGGCCATCAAGGATTTTCCCCGCAAAATTGGCTAATAGTAGACATTTTGCGTCGCAGTCGAGGTTGCGCGCGAAAAACAACGCCAATCGGCTCGTTACCGAGCAATCCCATCCATCAAGCTCGAGACTTTCACGCAGACAGAAAGAAGACCAGGGAACGCCACGGGAAAAGACAATGCGGGAAAGAAAAATCTAGAGTAGGCAAGTTGGCGCATTTTTCCGACGAGGACTGGTATGAATGAACTCTCGCGGCTGCAATTTCACTTTCTCGATTCTGCACGCCGCATCTTGCGTAAGGAATCGAGGCTTTCGTTATTACGATAGAGCGGTGTAGTGGGGCGGTAAGGGGCGACTTGGATCGAGCGAATGCCGAATCGCGGTTAGACTTGGATTTGGCTTTGGCTTTGTATTTAGCATTTTTCTGATTTTAGAGTTCCTGCCTGATACCTCGTTGGGCGTAGGAATGATTCATCGAGGATTAAATATGGCGTAATCGTCTGATAAGCCATGGATTTTCACTACGAATTTTATACCCGTAGGACTTCTCAAGCTCCGGAAGGGACAAAATTTATTATATTTAAGTAAAGCCTCGATCCGCCAAAACACGAGTCTCTCACGTTGCCCACTGTTCCTTACGACCAATTCTTCGCAAGACAAAACAAAACAAAACAAAAAAACAAAAAAAAATAAAACGTATTAACAGTATGAAAATACATTTATACAAAATAAACGAAAAATTTGAAAATAATATGTATAATAAGTACTTGTTTGGAAATACTTTTTTCTTTTTTTCCTTTTTTTTTTGTTTTTTTTTTTTTTTTTTTTTTTTTTTTTTATTTGTAATATACACAAAGTAACTCGTGTTCCATAATTTACATTTGTTTATTGAAAATTTACTCGGATAATAACATCACGACGTGTCTAAAATGAATCACGTTAAACGCTAATGCGTAAAAAAAGATTTTTATCGTGAATTTTTAGCAAAAGCGTATTAACAAAGTCATAGCTTTTATTGGCATTTGGTCGTAATAAATTTTGTAAGGAGTAAGGTTTTTTTGTTTTTTGATTAGCATAATAAGCAAAAACTGTTTAGATATTAATATAACGTGGAAGCACTAAAATTGAAATACATCAATGGGAATTTCTTTACAACTGCCGCTCGTCCATTTTGAAAAACGGTAAAAGTATGCTGGATCGTTGCGCAATAAAAATACACATACTTCTTCATTTATTCGTAAAGGCTTGTCGAGCTTGCAATACATTATTACATCGCTTTAATTGACTTATTATTGTCTAAGGAAGCAGCGGCAGAGCGGCTCTGACTTTTCATATCAATTATCATTGGAGAATGCGCGATGGCTCGTACGAAATGGCTTATGAATTATCAAAAATTTGTATCCTTTACTCGCCGAACTCAAAGAAATCAATCCCAAATTAATGAAATGTGATTTTAATTAAAAATAATGCTGAAATGCAACGAGACCGTTGCTATAATATCACGGTCATTACCTTACTCCAATTTCTTAAATTTACAAAAAAGAATAATTTGCCAAGCTTGTAGATACAGTTAGCATTTTAAAGAACAAAGGTTTTTTCTTAACCACGGCTAGATTGAAGAAGAAAAAAAAAATGAAAAAAAGATAATGAAACAGCATAGAAAGCGGCGTTCTTGCCACACGCAATTGAATCGGCAAAGTTCGGCAAAGTCACACTGGCGCAACAGCTGATAAGCTTTCGCCAAAACAACCGCATTGCAAAAACAACGTTGTGTCGCTCGGTTTGTCCGCGCCTATCCGCGCTCAAAGGAAAGCGACGCGTTCCATAAAAAGTTCCGCGGACTCGACTCGATCGACCGACCGACCGACCGACCGACCGACACGCAACATTCGAACACTAATCCGCGCGTTCGACAGAATTCGCTGCAAATCCTCGTGGAACAGCGGCTGCGTCGGGAGCCGGAGGGTGGATAGATGGTGGTTGTGAGCCCCGGACACCATCGATATCCCTCGCTCCAACAAAACCGGTTCGCGCGCTACTTTATCGGCTTTCCCCGCCCACGCAACACGCGCACAATTAAATTGCACAGGCAATGCTCTGGTGCGTTCGGCTTCCGCTTTCCTTTTCCTCCTCGACGTCCCGCGACGTCTATCCGGCCCGCTCTCGACTTATCCCCAGGATACCAGACTTTTTTCCTCGCTGGCCGATGCCGACGGCCTATCCTCGTAGCGCCGAATCGCCAATCGAACGAACAACAAGCGCAATCCCGTGGAAAGTCACTCGAGGATTTTGCTTGGCCTTGCAACTAACAACACGGCCTGCCGGGTTTTTATCGAGCGTACCAGGTTCGGGAGCTCCTTACCTCTCGATCTCCACGTCCGCTCGCTCCATCTCCACGAAAAGCACCGCGGCAAGCGTTTCAACGATAAGTACCCGCGCGCGCGCGACGTATATGCTAATCGCGCGTTCTCGGCTCGCGCTCGTTCCTCGGGCGGATTGGTGCAAGAGGGGGAGGGGCGGCCATGGAGGCCATTGCCAAAAGTGAAACTGGCGAACGCGCATTATACCGGTTCGACCGCCGCGGCAGAATTATTGCAGCAGCTCGGAGCCACGTCAGCTGGGAAATAAAATTTTGCGCTCAACGGAATGCGAGCGCCGGACCATTGTTTTCCTCCCGCTCGAGAGACACTTATTTGTCCATGGGCTCGCGGCCGCCTCTTCGGAAAAAGAAGGTTCGGACGGGCAACGAATTGCCATTAGATGGCTTGTTCGTGCGAAGTTTGCATTGCCTGCCTTGTCTATGCGAAGGGAATGCGTTTTTTCCTTACAGTGATGGAGAAACTTTGATTAAAATGTAATTGACGATTAGGTTTATGCGATTGCGTAAGGGAACCGTTGCAATTACATAGGCGCTTCGTGAAAAGTGCGACTTCCATGCTGGATATGGAATTTATGCGCGAATAGATAAAAAGAGCGTGAAGAAAAAAAGATGCATCGTGATTATCGCAAATCACTTGTATCAGGTAGACTAGTGGATTAGTTAGCGAGTTAGTTAGTCGGCACTTCCTGGTTGCCAATATAAGCTAGTAGTTAGGAAATGTTGACAATCGATACTTCCCATTAGCCATTGACAATCGTAAAAACTAATCTTTCGCAATGAAATTTATCGTAAGAGCGAATGGTCATCCTTTCGCATTGATTGAACATAATATAAAAACACAAATGTTTACATGGGCATACATGTTTTATATCTTTTTGATGCGATTTAAATAAAATTATGGCCAGAGTGTTGGCTACCTCGTGTAAATTATAAAAATATTATAGCCATAATTTTCATTGTGATTTGTGGCATTTGAATTCCTTTGGTCATAAATAATATTTGATGCATAATCTTAATCATCATCATAGTAGTATGATATGAAAGAAATTTGATTCTTTATATAATTAATAATACTTATTAATGCAACCGACCCATCTTAATTAAACTTTCGTACGTTTAACTCATGTTTTACTACATTCCTCCTTTAATTTCACATACATTTACTTTAATTCAATAAAAATGACTTGAGTTAATAAGTACTTTAATTCTGAAAAATAACCTTTCACGTGCACGCGCGCGGATATATAAATATATATTTTTTTACAAATTAAATAAACATAATATTTCAATGTACCAAGATCTCAATAACGAAGATACTTGCTTTTTTTCGTCATCGTTTAAAAGAAAATTCATTATATAGTGACTCATATAGGTCGATAAGGAAAAGCGAATTATGGAAGGCCTCTGTTATAAGGAATGTAAGTTTATGTATTTATTTAAAGTAGATTAGAAAGGGAAATTTTATGATGACTTGAAAATCGAAATAACACATGAGTTATGAAATACTTTAGCATGTAGTTTGCAATATATATTGTAAATGGTACACGTAACTTGGAGAGATTTGAAAATAATATGAGTCACTCTTACGTAGTTTGAGCGTTATATTTTAATTATATCATAGACCGACGATTTAATTAAAAAAATTAAATATTTTATATTATCCCATGTTCGTGAAAGTTTTATAGAACATTGGCAGAAAATAGGCACTAAATGGAAATAAATCGGCAACCTAAGCGTTGCTAATTATTACCGATCATCGTCAATTATGGGTATTATATCAAACCTGGTTATCTCGGCACTTTCGAGTGTAATAACCATGGAATGGAAATACGTCCCCGTTAAAATGAAGCGCATGCGGCAAGTGGAATAGAAAAGCTCGAACCTCGGATCAATAGAACAATAATATCGGGAATATCTTTTGTTTACAACGGCGTTGAACTAATGCACGTAGCCGGAGAATCACGGCGATCGCGTAACCGACAGGGACAATAGAAAATCAGCGACAACCGGTGCCAAGGACGGGCAGTTCTCTCTGCCGCGGAGCTGCGCGCCCGTGCAGTTTCGTAACTTGTGAAAGTCCGTAGCAAGGGGACACTGACCTCACACCCTCCTCTGCCCGCCCCCCTCACTCTCACTCACTCTCTCTCTCTCTCTCTCTCTCTCTCTCTCT